GATGATGGGCTCAAGTATAGCAGGGATTGTGGGGCTGGTGCGGGATTGGGCAGTGTTTCGTTCTGTTGTGCATGGGGTCACTATGAGTCAGAAATGACTCAATGGCACTTAACAACAACAACAACAACAACAATTAGCCTTTTACCATTTCATGGATGCTGGCAAAAATAAAGTTGCTGGGTCAGAGACAAAGGACTTCATTGCCCATGGCCCAGCAATAGGCCTAAGCATAATGTTTCCATTGGCTCCCTCAGTGCCACAGGGACAATGTGGAGGGGCCCAGTAGAAGCTCTGAATGCAGTGGACTTGTCACAGCTGAGGGACATTGTGGTGGTTAAGTTTGTGTGTCAACGTGGCTGGGCCTGGTTGAATGGCTGGGCAGCTGGATGTAGTATTCCCCATGATGAGACTAGTAATCAACTCCATGGTTGAATCTACTGAGAGCAGCTGAGTAGCTGCCGTTGGGTATGTGGTCTGCTTTCTGTATGTATATAAGCAGCAGCTTTGGGAATGGTCTCTAGCTTATGGCACACCTGAAGCCTGCATGTAGCCATGTCATTGTTCAGCAGCCTACCATGCTCTGCCAATCCTGGGACTTTCAATGGACTTGAATCAATGGCCTGACATGGTGTTTGTAACATTGGGACTGTGCCATTTTATTTGTTGACCCTGGGATCGTTAGCCTCAGCAGCCTGTAGTTGCCTGAGTGAAGAGATGCCTCTAGCTTCAGTGGGCTGGGAGCAAGAGGCAGAGCTGAAGCCCAGGGTCGAGGGGCTTTCACATAGCCCCTAGAGCCTGGTACTTTGAACTCGGACGTCTAGCCTTCCAAACTGTAAGAAAATAAACTCCTGTTTGTTCAAGCCATCCCATTGGTGGCCTGTTTCTGTCAGAGCAGCACTAGGTACCCAGAACAGACACTGAGCTTGGGGAACTCACCTCTTTTATAGCAGGAAGTAAGCAAGCATATTCTTCGTCCTGAAGGAAGATACTATCTCATTCCTTGAGGTTGCTCACTGCAAATGCAAGCCTGAGAAAAGTCCCTGGCAAGGCCTTGCATTCTTGGCATTCCCTGCAGGAATGTGCAAGGATAGTGTGGGACTGCTTCTCCCAATAGTACCTATCTCAGGGATGTTTCCCATGTCCACTTCTGGGCGATGGCTGCTTCTGTCTCTTTTTACAAAGTCCTGCTTCTCAGTCCTGATGCCCAAAGTGGATGATGGCCAAAGCAAAGATAAGAGAAGTCCAAGATTGTTTAAGATCTCAGATGCAAACATCTTAAACACAGTATTATCAAATCAAATCCAGCAGTATATTTAAAGAACAATATCTCATGACCAAGTAGGCTTTTCCTAAATATATAAGAAAGCCTCAACATTTGGAAGTTTATTACTATATTTTAGCAGTCAAGGATAAATTTTATTCAATTAGAAAGTAGTTATGAGCCAGGAGCTGACAAAAATGACAAAATCCTACCCTTCATGCATTAAAATATTCATAGCAACTCTGTTCACAGTAACCCCAAATTGGGAACTTCCCAAATGTTCATCAGCAATTGAATGGATAAATAAGCTGTAATATATACATAGAACGGCACAGGACCAGGCAGTGTTTCGTTTTGCTCTGTTTGGGGTCATTAGAGTCAGAGCCCACTTGACAGCAGCAAACAACATACTCACACTACCGAATACTACACAGGAGTGAGAACGAATAAGGTCTGTTGCCAGCAGCGAAGAAGGGGAAGACCCTCAACAACATGGATTGATACAGTGGCTGGTGGGCTCAAGCACAGCAAGGATTGGAGGCTGGCGCGGGAGTGGGCAGTGTTTCGTTTTGTTGTACATAGGGCCACTGAGTTGGAGCTGGCTTGACAGCACCTAACCACCACCACACAGGCAGCAACAGGGGTGAGTCTCACAAGTAACACTCAAGTCAGACACAAAAGAAACATGTGGTTGCATTGATAGGAAGTTTAGACCAGCCAAATCAATTTCTGATGATAGAAGTCAGGAGAGTGGTGACCACTGGGGCACAGTGACTGGTAGAGCACATGGTAGGGGGTGGAGGGCTTCTGGGGTGCTGGTTGTATGCTGTGTTTTGATTTGATTGCTGGTTACAAACCAAAAACCAAACCAAATTCACTGCCATAGTCAATTCCGACTCATAGCGACCCCCTTTGGGTTTCCAAGGATGTATATCTTTATGGAAGCTGACTGCCTCATATTTCTTCTGCTGAGCAGCTGGTGGGTTCAAACCACTGACCTTTTTGTTAGCAGTCAAATGCCTTAACCATTACATTGGCAGAGCTCTTTTGCTGGTTACAAAGGCATGCTTAATTTCTAAAAATTCAATGAGCTATACATGTAGGTGCTCTTTTCTTTGTATGTTGTGTTTCAGTAAAAGTTTAAAAAACATTACAGATGGTTGTCCAGAAGGAAAATAAGATGTGAGGTCAGGATGGTGGACAGAGCAGGTGCTACAGCCAATCTTGCCCATACCAAGTCTGGGAAAGACCTATCTCCCACTTTTTGCTCCTCAGAGATATTTGGAGGAAAAAAATGGTAGTGAATTATTATATTAGCAATGTGAACACTGGGACTAGGGAGCAAAGAGAGAACAAGATGATGCACTCTGTTTTTGATTTGTTTCAGAGGGTATATAAGTGAAGATGGACTAGGTTGTGTTAATATGATATAGTAACGTATTGTATTAACAATAATGATATTAGTTATAGCCTTCTAGTTATATAAATCTACATCAAGTCAATTCCAACTCATAGTGACCCACAGTTTCCAAGGCTGTAAATCTTTGCAGAAGTAGATTGCCTCATCCTCCTTCCGTGGCACAGCTACTGGGTTCCACCCACCGACTTTCTGGGTAGCAGCCAAATGCCTTAACCACTGTACCACTGGAGCACCTTTTTTATTTCTATATAGCACTTTTCATTTGTTCAAGGCTGTTCTACATTTTTATCTGATGTAATTTCACTCTACTACTCTAGTGGAGAATTCCCCACCAGAATCAATGCAAAGAAGGGGGTACAATGTCTGTGCTTGGTCCCCAAGATTAGAACCACTGTACCCCCTCCCTTGGTCTGGGAGAATACCCGGCTACTTTTTGGATTGATGAGGTATACAAGTGATGTACTTATCCCACACAGAACCTAGCTAATGGTTCTTAAATTTCAGTGTGTTTTATCTGGGAGAGCCTGTGAAAAATGTAGGTCCTCAGAAAGTAAAACACCAAACTACCTTATGACCCGGAAATTCTAATTCTAAGTATATATTGAAAAGAACTGAAAACAGATGAACAGAAACTTGTACACAATGTTCATTGCAACATTATTCACAAAAGCCAAAAGGTAGAAACAACTCAAGTATCCATCAAGAGATGAGTCAATAAACAAAATGTGGCAAATCCGTACAATGAAATATTATTAAACCATAAAGAGAAACAAAGTTCTGATATATGCTACGACATGGAAGAAGCTTGAAGACATTATGCTGAGTAAAATAAGTCAGACACAAAAGGACAAATATTGTATGATTCTATTTATACGAAATATCTAGACAGGCAAATACATAGAGACGAGTTTATTTGTTGTTAGCAGGGGCTGGAGTCTCTGGATGGCACAAACGGTTAAGTGCACAACTACTAAGTGGAAGCCCGGTGATTCTACACCCACTTAGAGGTATCTTGGAAGAAAGGCCTGGTAATCTGCTTTTTAAAGGTCACAGCCTTGAAAACCCTATGGAGGGCAGTTCTACTCTGACACACATAGGGTCACCATGAATCAGAAGCCACTGGCTTAGAAAATCTTGCTGTCATTTTGTTTTTTAGAGGTGTGACTTGCAAACAGTACCATTCTGGAATTTGAGGAGAAAAAAAAAAAAAGATCTGAAATCTCCCTTGTAACACTTACATGCTTGAACTGATTTCTGGCACTATTTCTGGGCCTCCTCAGGAGAGTTCAAGTCTGGGAATCACCATTAGGGAAACAATCATCACAGCAAAGAATTAAGACCATACAGGAAAAAAAAAAAAGCAAAAACCAGAAATGGTAGTTACCAATAATTGGGCAAGGTAGGAGGCTGAAGCTCTGGTGGTGTAGTGGCTCAGGCATTTGGCTGCTAACAAGAAGATGGGTGGTTGGAAACCAAGCATCCACACCATGGGAGAAAAGGTTGGGCATTCCTACTTCCGTAGTGATACTGCCTCGGAAACCCAAGGAGGGGTTTCCCTATGAGTCGGGGCCGACTCGGTGGCAAACAACAACAACATGCTTCCACAAAGATTCATAGCCTTGGAAATCCAGGGGAGGTCCGAATCAAGTGGATGGCAGTGAGTCGAAGCCGCGGAAGGAGAAACCTGGTACATATCTCCTATGAATTGTGTGTCGTGTTTTTAACGCCTCAGTGCCTGGCAGTATCTGTTAACAACATGACAAATATGTAGCAACAAAAACATTAAGAAAAGGAATAGATTCTTCAGTCTTGTTACTCAACTTACTAAATTCAGGCCCTTGTTTGATAACTATGAACTCTCCTATTGTCCTTTAATGCCATTTTTAAGTTTCAACATAAAACTCAAATTCACTGCCCTCTAGTCGGTTCTGACTCACAGCGACCTCTCCTTGAATTTCTGAGGCAGTATCTTTACGGAAGTAGATTGCCCAGTGTTCCTTTCATGGAGTGGCTAGTGGATTTGAACTGCCAACCTTCTGGTTAGCAGTCAAATGCCGTAGGCACTACGGTGGAGGTAAATACAGAAAAAAAAAAACAAACAAACAAAAAAAACAGAAGAAGATAAATGAGATGGCCAGCGAGGAACTGCAAAGACGATCCAAAGAGTAGAGGGAGCCCCACCCACCGCCTTAAGACGGGCCGGAAATCCGAGTATTCAGCCACACCAACTTCAGGCGTCACTTCCCGCGCGACTACCTGCGAGGGAGATCATGGCGGCGTTGGGCAGTGTCCGCTGGCTGACCCGAGTGAGGCCCGGGGGTTTCTAAGTGGGCAATGTCACTGCAGTATTCGGGATCTGGAGGGGCCTGAGGCCTGGTCTCACAGGCTTGCTGTCTCTCTTGCAGGCGTTGGTCGCCGCCCCGAACCCTGGGGTATGGAGGGACCTGGGCACCTCAGCTACGTCGTGCGCCGCTTCTCGGAGCCAGGTAAGCGCGAGGCTTGCCACCGTGTTACTCCGAACTCTCTCACCTCTTCGCCGCTCCCTCCACCAGCTTCTCCCCACCTTCCCCTGCTCCCCAGAACCCCCACTCGTGCTGTCGCTCATGCTATGCTGACTCCGCTCCCAGGCCGAGGACGCGAGGGTGGAAGGCGCCTTTCCCGTGACTATGCTGCCGGGAGATGGAGTGGGACCTGAGTTGATGCATGCCGTCAAAGAGGTGTTCAAGGTGAGTGGCTTTTGGGATCAGTCAGTCGAGGATAGGGTGAGTTGGCAAGGGTTTTGACTCGACCTTGATCCAGTACGTTTTGGGACCTGCCCCTGCAGGCTGCCGCCGTCCCGGTGGAGTTCCAGGAGCACCACCTCAGTGAGGTGCAGAATATAGCATCTGAGGAGAAGCTGGAACAGGTGCTGAGTTCCATGAAGGAAAACAAGGTGGCCATTATTGGTATGTGTCCTCTTCCATCCTCCCCTTGTGTCATTTTAAAATGAAGTGAACGAATGTTTATTAAGCCCCCTTCCTCACACACTGATACGTTAACTTCCCAGGGCCCCCACCACGGATTTGTGCGCATTTATTCCTTCCTGTTGGTTGGGCAATCTACTTCGGTAGTGATACTGCCTCGGAAACCCAAGGATGCGTCACGATGAGTCAGGTCTGACTCAACGGCACATAACAACAACATTGGGAACCCAGGAGTGAATGTAGGAAGGCTTTAAGGGGTTGGAGTTAGCCATCCAGTCCTCTTAATAGGTTTTCTAGAATGCTGCTTTTCTTCCATCTTCTCTTGTGTTTCTTCCATCTTCCCTTCTGCTTCTACATTTTAATCTCTTTATTGGATTTCTGGGCTTCTGGTTCTGCCCTTGCAGACCATCTTCCACATCTTTTCACTTGGAAAGACCAGCTTGACTTTGCCAGGCCCAACCTTAGCACAGGAAAAAGTAGGTCCTTTATAAATTGGCTCTCAGCTTTTTTGCCTTGTTTTCCGTGACATTTATTCGGTGTTTTGGCCACACCAGACTGTGTTAGTTTCTAAATACATGTACTATTTTGATTCATGCTGTTTCCTCTGCCCAGAATGTTTTTTTTCTTTGCTGCCACCTATCAGAGTATAACTCATTGTATTAGTTTTCTAGGGCTGCTGTAACAAGTCACCACAAACTTGGTGGCTTAAAATAACAGAAATTTATTCTCTCATAGTTGTTGGAGCCAAAAATTCAAAATCAAGGTGTTGGCAGGGGCATGCTCTCTCCAAACTTTCTAGAGAAGAATCCTTCCTTGTCTGCTCTAAATTCTGGTGGCTTTTGGTGTTCCTTAGCTTGTACATGCACTACTCCAGTCTCTGCATATGTCTTTATGTGGCCTTCCCTGCTTTGTATCTATGTCCGCTTTTATAAAGACTTGTCATTGGATTTAGGGTTCACCCTACTCCAGGTTGATTTCATCTTGAGATCCTTAACTTGATTACATCTATAAAGACCATCTTTTCCATGAAATGTCACATTTATAGGTTCTGAGTTTAGGACATGAACATATCACTTGGGTATAGCAAGGATTGTGAGGATGATGTATGACCAGGCACTGTTTTATTCTGTTGTACAGAGAGTTGCTAAGAGTCAGAGCCAACTTGACAGCCCCATCAACAACAACATTAAATGTACTCCAGTCTGCCCTCTGGTCCCCCAAAACTCAGGTCTTTCCAATGTCTAAAACACCTTTACCCAATCCCAGTGTCTCCAGAATCCTCAACTCGTTATAATATCACCTATTACCTTCTTTCTGAATCTAGACTTTTTCTGTTTTGTGCCTCAGAATTCTTCCTGTCTTTACCCATTACTCAATTTCAAAACCATATGCACACATTTAGGTATTTGTTACATCAGCATCCCACTTCCTGGTACCAAAATCTGTACTAGTTTCTTGGGGCTGCCGTAACATATCACCACAGATTTGGTGGTTTATACCAATAGAAGTTTATTCTGTCACAGCTCTAGAGGCCAGAAGTCCAGAATCATGATGTAACGGTCACATTCCCTCAGAGAGCCCTAGGGAAGATCCTTTCTTCTGTCAGCTTCTGGTAACTCTTGGCATTCCTTGGCTTATAGATGCCTCACTCCAATCTCTGCCTCCATCTTCCCCTGGCTGTCTCTCCTTTGTGTCTCTTTCCCCTTGTCATTAGACTTGGTATTGAATTTAGGAGCCCTGTTGGTCAAAGTGCTCAGCTGCAAACCAAAAGGTTGGTGATTTGAACCCACTACCCACCCTGGGAGGAAAATGTGGCACTCCGCTTCCATAAAGATATACAGGCTTGGAAATCCAGTGGAGCAGTTCTCCTCTGTTCTGTAGGGTTGCTTTTAGTTGAAGTAGACTCAGTGTAATGGTTTTTGTCATTGGATTTAGTGCTTACCCTAATCCAGGATGATTTAATCTTGAGATCCTTAACTTAATTGCATTTGCGAAGACCATTTTTCTAAAGTCACGTTTATAGGTTCTGGGGGTTAGAACATGATTGTATCGAGAGTCACCCTTCAATCCATTATACTCATTTAACATGAGGTCCAGCTGAAATGCCAGCCTTCCTGTGAAACTTCCTGATATTACTAGAGGGAATTTCTTTTCTGTATTTTTATATACTTCTTTAATACCTCTCTTATGGATTGAATTGTGTCCCTCAAAAATATGTGTTGTAAATTCTAACCTCTATGCCTGAGGGTATAATCCCATTTGGGAATGGATTGTCTTTGCTAGGTTTAGGAGATGAGATTTTTACACGATGTGTCTTGAGTCAATCTCTTTCGAGATAGCAGAGAGTTTAAACATGCAAGAGAAGCAGAGATGGGGGAGGATTGATGCCCAGCCAGTTGTAGCTCTCCAAGGAACCAGAAAACAAGCTGAAGAGAGTAGAACCTTCCCGAGAGCTAACAGGGAAAGCTACATCCCAGGGCCGGTGCTCTGAATTCAGATTTATAGCCTCCTACACTGTGAGAAGGTTAGCTGTTTAAAACCACCAGCTGTTCTGCAGAAGGAAGATGGGGCAGTCTACTTCTGTAAAGATTTTCTGCCTTGGAAACCCAACGGGGGTTGCTATGAGTCTGAATCAACTTGATAGCAGTGGGTTTGGTTTTTGGTAAACTGTGAGAAGATAAATTTCTGGTTGTTAAAGCCATATACTTGTGGTATTTCTGTTGTACCAGCACTAGATAATTAGGATATTCTCCTATGGGATTTATCATGTCTTTCACGTCATCTGTTTGCTCCTGGAGGGCAGGGATTGTGTATTTTTTTGGTTGATGGTCCTATGCCTGGCATATGGTTGATATTCAGTTAAGTATTGGTTGAAAAAAAGTCACATAGGTAGAGAAAAATCAAGAAAGGTCACAGATCCCTAAGCATTGTTTTTCAAAGTATTATTAATAAAGGCTCTGCTTGGTAAACATGAAAAAATTCATGTCCTCCATTAAGGTCATTTTGAAGTTTCAGCCCTGGCTTTGAAACAGTTCTCAATTCAGTCATAGCCAAGGAGGTGGAACCAGACAGACCTGAGTTTTCAGAATTTAACTGAACAGAAAAAATAATGGGTTGAAGTCCTGCAGGAAACTTAATCTCCTTCTTAGAAAACAAGGCAGCATATGAGTCACACAGCAACCAAATCTCTTGCCTGTTGGATTTTGAGCAGAGTCAGAAGCAGCAGGACCCTGCTTAAAGTTGGGAGCCAACCTCATGAATTTGAGTGTGTCTCACTCTCCACAGTCCTGCCAATAAACCATTCTCCACATCAGGCTACTGAAAGGGCTCACTGTGCATCTTCCAAATCTCTTGTCCTAGGGCTTCAACCTTAATTTTTTCCTGTTCCAGTTATTGTGCTGGTTCACACAAATTTTAACCATTTGGATTGGTTCTGGTTTCACTTTGTTGATCATGAATGAACCAGTTTGAAGCCCTGGTTTCAAACTAAATAGATGTAAAGCAGTGGACAAATTGTTTTTAACTACATCATTATCCTTTGTGTCTTGACCCAGGGCCATTTAAGGGTCAGTGATTTGGAAGTGGGAGATGCGGAATCTAGGTTATGTCATATCTCTGAAGGGACTGAATACTGGCCTGGGTTAGCCTTTGTCTGACACTCTCCTTCTGACTCTTTATGAAGGAAAGATCCACACGCCGATGGAATACAAGGGGGAGCTAGCCTCCTATGACATGAGGCTGAGGTAGGTGGTAGGGAGGGACAGTGGGTCAAAGGGGTACTGGGGCAGTAGGTACAGTGCTGCTGCTGATCTGCCCCCCCGCCCCCACAGGCGTAAGTTGGATTTGTTTGCTAATGTGGTCCATGTGAAGTCACTTTCTGGCTTTAAGACCCGACACAACAATCTAGACCTGGTGATCATTCGAGAGCAGACGGAAGGGGAATACAGTTCTCTAGAACATGAGGTGAGGCCCCAGAATTGAGGGTGAGCGTGGAGGTCGGAGAGAGACCTAGCTTTTTCCTCTCTTCCTTCCTAGTCACTCAGCTGCTTCTCTCTTCTCACCCAGAGTGCGAAAGGTGTGATTGAGTGTTTGAAGATTGTCACTCGAACCAAATCTCAGCGGATTGCAAAGTTTGCCTTTGACTATGCCACCAAGAAGGGACGGAGCAAGGTCACAGCTGTGCATAAGGCCAACATCATGTGAGGGACATGGCTTCATGTGGGGTGGGTTCTTGGGAAAGTAGTTTCCTGTACTCACTTAACTGAATTTGTTCCCTTTGGCCTGTGGACAGGAAACTTGGGGATGGGTTGTTCCTGCAGTGCTGTAGAGAAGTTGCTGAACTGTACCCCAAAATCAAGTTTGAGACAATGATCATAGACAACTGTTGCATGCAGGTGAGGCTCTTGGTGTTCTGGGACGGTGTGGAGTGGGATTCCCTTCCCTTCTTCATGCCCACAAGGAGCACTGGTGGCAAAAAGTTGGCAATTCAAGTCCACCAGCTGCTTCACGGGAGAGAGATGTCTGCTTCCATAGATTTACAACTTTGGAAATTCTGTAGAGTGGTTCTGCTTTTTCTTATTGGGGTGCTATGGGTTGAAATTTGACTCAGTTCCAGTGGGTTTGGTGGGTTGTTTTTTCCTCCATGCCTCACATCTTATCCCCAGCTGGTGCAGAATCCTTACCAGTTTGATGTGCTTGTGATGCCCAATCTCTATGGGAACATTATTGACAATCTGGCTGCTGGCCTGGTTGGGGGAGCTGGTGTGGTTCCTGGGGAGAGCTACAGTGCAGAGTATGCAGTCTTTGAGACGGTGAGCGAGGTTGCTTCTTCCCTAGCCTTCTGCATGCCCTTTGACTTCTGATCTCCCCTAATGCCTCCTCACCAAGGCCATCTCCTCCTCATTCCCCTTCCCCATAGTTTTTCTCTTCTCAGTGACCTTGGCTTGCCCTCCCTCTGATCCCAGGCTCGCTCCTGTGCTTTGCTTTGATCTCAGCCTCTCCTTAATATTTCCCCCGTGACTGGCCTGCCTCTTTCCCAACAGGGTGCCAGACATCCATTTGCCCAGGCAGTCGGCAGGAATATAGCCAACCCCACAGCCATGCTGCTGTCAGCCTCCAATATGCTGCGGCATCTCAAGTAGGCTTGTGGGAGGTTTTGGGGAGGAGGTTGGGTACTGTCCCCAGAGCATACGTGGGGGAGAAATGGGGATGTTCTGGTGACAAGGGTGGTCTCAGTGTCTTCTGTCCACGTTCACAGTCTCGAGCATCACTCCACCATAATCGCAGATGCAGTGAAGAAGGTGATCAAAGTCGGCAAGGTAAGTTTAGAAAGGCTCAGGGTCTTGGCACTGCTCTCTGGGGAACCTGAACTGAGGCTTCCTTTTCCTCCAGGTCCCCAGAACATCTGCTCTCTGATTCTCTCAACTCTCCCAGAGCTCTTCCCTTCCTTTTCCTTGGCTGTTTCATCTTTTGGATCTGCTTTGCCACTAGTTTCCATCTGCCATTCCCTCTTTTCCTGCTCTATCCACTGCCCCTTTGGTGGGCTTTGTCTTAACCTACAATTTTGCAGCTCTTTATTTGGGGGCAGGGGATAGGAGTGGGGTGGAGGGAGGGAGGGAACAGGTAGGAGGAAGCACTAACTTCATCTTTTGTACACTTGGAAGTCCATCCTCATTCCATTCTCCTGCCATCTTTTCCTTCCACCTGGTCCTTCTCCGAGTTTCCTCCCCAGTGGCTTCATCCCTGATTTGCATTTCCCCATCTCACTTCATGCTTCATCTACCATCCTGCACGGGCAGCAGCACAGCTCCACGCTCTGGCCCCCAGAATGGCCGAGTTGGGAGTGTGCTGGTCCAGGGCAGGTCCATGCTTACAAGCCTTCCCATTCCTGCAGCATCTTTCTGGCCTTCTGTTATCCTCTTGGATCATTGGAATCAAGGGTTTCCATGATCACACTGCCTCTACCCCCACTTCATGGGCTCTCTTCTCTTCTTCCCCGCCACATTGCTGGTGGTGGCTGTAGGTGCGGACTCGAGACATGGGCGGCTACAGCACCACATCTGACTTCATCAAGTCTGTCATCGGCCACCTGCACCCCCATGGGGGCTAGAGCCCTTTATTTCTTCCAACCTCACAAGGACCATGCTACTTAACACATCCCTTCTGCACATTGGACCAGACTTAGACAGTGGACCATAAATCACCCTTCTGGGCAGAGCCTAGATTGTCCTGGGTCTGGGTTCCTTAGGAACTGTTTTGGGTGATGGGTTCGTTAGGGATGGGGGCTCAAGCCACAGACATCATGACCATTCTCCCCCACAGGTTCGAACCTCTGACATGGGTGGTTATGCCACCTGCCACGACTTCACTGAGGCTGTCATTGCTGCCCTGCCTCGCTAATAATCCTGCCTGCACCCATGTAAGGTGCTCAATAAAACACATGTATCAACTTTTATGAATTTTTGCTTTTATTGGGACATGGGTTGGGAAATGCCATCATGTGTATACCACCCCACCCCCACCCCACTATGTCTATTCTAGTCTTCCTGGGGTAGTTTTTTTAATTTTTTCTTTTTCTTAGAGCTACTGTTCTTACTGCTAGCAGCCTCTTCAGGTCCACTGCCAACAAGCTCCTCCTTGTGAGAGAGTTTCTTCTTTTTCTTTGGGACACTTGTGCTGTTAGCTGCTACTTCATGATCACTAGCTGGTTCCTCTTTGGGGAAAGATTTCTTCCTCTTGGGTAAACTTGTGTTGACAGCCATCTCTTCAAGATCATTACTAACCAACTCCTTAGAAAAAGATTTCTTTTTTTTGGGTTTGGGGAGAGCAGAGCTAGATGTGTCTTCCATTCCATTCTCCTGTGGAGCCTCCTGGAGCCTTTGCTTTTTCTTCTTTTTGGGTCTTTCACCTGCCTCCTGAAGAGGAAGGAAAAGGGCACAAGAGTAATGTTACCTACTGAGTGAACACTAAAAAAGTACCAACAGGTAAGGAGTTAGGGAAGAAAGACTTGTGGAAACACTTGGAATCACCCATTGTTCCTGGGATGTTAATTTTACAGGTATGACTTTAGAAATTTACCCAGAGAAATTATCTAAACTCACTGCATAACCTATTTTAAAAAAAGAAAAACAGCATGCTGGGTGAAATGAGCTGGCAGAGTAGAATCCCCTACCATCCTGCCAAATTCTAGACATGCCCTGAAATATTTAACAAACTGGGCATCTCCTGCCCCTATCCCTATTGTAAAAGGTACCACCCACCTCTAGGCATTTCTGAGAACAAGCAGAGTAGGACTTTACACTATTCCTTGGTTAAGGACTCTTGGAAACAAGTATGTAATCAAGTCCCTGGCTTCTTGAGTGACTTCTATCAGCACATACCTCCTTGCAGATTTAAGAGGTGGTTTTAAATGTCTGTAGTTCTCATTTCAACTCAAAAGTCTAGACTCAAGTCCATGGCTTGATATATCCATCCCATCCTGTTTGGCTGCTGAAAATCCTATAACCTAGGATCTTCACCTGGGGCTAATCTGCCCACTGACCTCGCACTCCTCTGGAGTATTATTTTCTGAAGACATAAGTGCAATTGCAGCCAGTCGTTTCTTTTCCTTTTTCAAGCGTTTCTTCTCCTGTTTCTCCAGCTTCCTAGCAGTCTCCACAGCCGCTTCCTCTGCCTGGCCAGAAAAAAAGTGCTGAAAAGGTTTGGAAGACCCATCTCTCTAGGCCTCCCTCCTGTTCATATTGGATCAGGCTCATTAAATCAGTTTTTTTTTTTGCCTCCACTTTGTAAAGTCAGACTAAGATAGTTCATCACCTCCAACAGTCAGCTGTGGTTCTCCCAGCCCAGCAAAGCCCAAACTGACCTGAACCATTGCCTCTTTCATGACATCCAGATTCTTTCGCGGAACCTCTCCAGTCTCATAAAAGGACAGTCGCTCCTCGACTTGCTCTCGAAGCTTTTCCCCAAATACACTTGTGGGCACCTCTGCATGTGTGTGGGTAAACAAAGCCTATCAGCTCCTGAAGAGAGAAACTACCCACCTGCTAATATTCCCTTTACCCTCAGCTTCACTCAGACCCAAAGTATCAACACTCACTGAGTGAACTGCTGTTGACGAAAAATACTGACATCATTGTAGAAGCTAAGGTAGTTGTCTGCCTCCCGTCCCTCCCAGGCCACCCTTCATACCTGAGAAACAATCAATTCGTGAGGCAATACTGCATTTGTTTGCCAGGTATCGAGAGATGCGGCCTTTGTTCTTGGCAGCTGCTCGGCCAATGAAGGTAGAGTGGAAAATGAGTCCATATTTGGGGGTATTACCCCTTGTCTTCAGGGCTCTGAGAGAATATTCAACATTAAGATCAAAAATTTCAACTGCAGTAGCCAAAGCAGCTCCTTAGTTCCTGCTTTCCCAAGTCACTTGAGTCTTAGGTTGGGACTGGTTCCACCCTCACCCTCATGCCAACCCACAGCTCCCAGAGGCAGGGGCAAGGCATCTGATGTCGCTGACCTGGAAGCTTGGTCCCTTTTGCTGGGCCCTAGGAATCACTCAGACACCAGGACTGGCCATCATCCCCATAATAGAGGCCTGTATAGGTCAGGGGCCCTGGTTAGCCATCACAGTGATCCCTAAACAAGTAGTGGGCACCAGAAGTGGCACCTTTAGGTGGGCAGGTGCCCTCACTGGTACCTGAACAGGGCCTTTTCAGCCCCAAGGATCTGCACTGTGGATGCTGGATACTTGGCCAGGTTGGTAAGGCTGCCAGCATGTGCAATGAGACGTGCACCTACCTAGAAAAAGTCACAAAGGAATCAAAAGCTGAAGTCACTGAACTAACAAGTGTGTAACCCCTGCTCATCTCCTCCCCATCAAACACAACTAGGGAAAGTATGATGGATCAAAGAGTAACAACAATGCAGACACTCCTTAGTGCCTCATGACATACCGCTTCCCCAATTAGCGCTGACAGACTGGGGGCTACTTGGCTCATCTTGGAACGCAGGTAAGTGTGTAAGCTCTGGCGGTATTCTGAAAGAGACACCACGCGACTGGAGAAACTCTCGATGTTTATCAAATCGATGGCAGAGATGTCCATGCCTGGGGGACACCAAGTGTGAATACAGGAACATTCAAAGCCCCACACCTTACTTACAACCTGGCTGCTGGGCTTTGCACTGACCCATGGAGGACCGTGAGGCATCGAGAATAGCCTTAGCCTTGCCCCCATCCATTGTTAGCTCCTCCAGCTTCTCCAACTTGTCTTCATTCAGCTCCTTGCGGTTTCCAATGAATTGGGCAAGGCGACAGTATGTGGTATTGTCGTTCACAATCTTCACCAGCTCTGGAAAGTGATAGCCATACCACTCCCTGCAAAAAGCCATAATCACTCCCTGGACCAGGCACTATGTCTCCAGCAAAACAATAGCTTCAGTCCTCCCCACATCTATTTCCCTGGACCAATCTGATTCAAAGCCTCCTCAATACCATGTTGCCCCATTCACAATACAAACCAGGCACAAGGCCTGGCTGAGGTGTATATGGGGGTACTTTGCTCTGCCTCCTCTTTTTATACAGCCAGTGCAAGAACACAGCCTGTGGTAAGCACAAGGAGGCCTGGCCTCCACCCCACCTGCTTCTTCCCAGACCCGATCTCAGAATGCAAAATTAACCAAATTAGAGGCCAAAGTTCTCACTTTCTGAGGGCTGCCCCTGTACTTTACCTGACACGCATAGAGAAGGTATTTATGTCTTTATCCAGCTGGTCCAGAAGGCTAATGGACTGGATGATCATATTGTCCACCCGGTTCACATTAAACTTAACTTTAGCACGAGAGTAGCTGTGTCCCAGACCCAGTTGGGCTTTACAAGCAGACAGATCAGTCAGACCCTTCACCAGATTATGGAAGTGCAGGCGAACTCCTGGAGGAGGGCAGGACTATGAATGAGCACGGAAGGGCCTTGAGCTGGCTCCCACACCCAGGGGCATCAGGCAAGCAGCTCCCCACCCTCCGGCCAAGATGTCAAGAACGGCTTCACAATGCTAGATGCTCTCACCTCGTAGGATCTCAGCTATCACACCTCCAGTCTGGCAGTTGTACCCTAACTCCTCCTGTATGGCAGCACCAATCTTGGGGTCCCCAACTCCCAAGAGCACTTTCTTCTTTTTGGATGGAAGGTGTGTCTCCAAGAGCAGGCGGAGATCCTCATGAACAACACCTCCAGGTAAAGAATACAGCTCTTATTAACATGCTTTAGGTGCTTACATATAAAAGGGATACTGCCTTATTAAGATGCTGATTAAGGGACAGCATGCTTATACCCCCACTTCCCTTCAGGCAAAGCTCAGAGACATGGAGACATCAGTGACTGCACTCAGGGGATTGACAGATACATGTCATCACTGCAAAGCCTGGCTCATACAGGGAAGAAACAGGGCTCAGGTCCAATAGCATCAGTGTAAAATACATTAAAACTTAAAATATAACCTCCAGCATGATTAAATTATCTTCTTTGCCTCCTGAGGCTTTTTGCTTGCCAAGGTTCTTTTTTCTTGGCTCGTATATATCCCATCAAATAAACGATGCAGTATCGAATTGCACAGTTGACTGGATTAAAGCAGACTGTGGACACAAATGGATTTTAAACCAGGGCCCCATACCCAAGAATCATGTACCACTGCTGTGTCCATAAGAAATAAAACCTACATGCTAGATGTAGCTTTAAATACGTAGTATTAATCTATACCATCACAAACCCCTTAGGAGGAATAATAGTACCAGAATCACATGTTCTATCTCCACTAAAGCTTAGGGATGGCCAACTCACCTTCAGACACAGCATTGGCATTTTCCAAGGCAACTTGGGACGAGGCAAAGGGGCAAAAGGCCACTAGACGGATGATGTTGTGGAACTTGCCCAGATTGAGTACACACTCCTCCACCTGGGATAGGGGAAACAGGATGAGCAGTTTCCTTCCCTTACTCTACAGTGCAGGAAAGCTGAGATTCTCAGCTTTGGACACACACAAAAACCAACTAAAAAGCTTTTGTAACACCGCTGCCTGGTCCCGACCTTTCAAAGTTTTCCTTTAAACGGTATTGTTAAGAAGTTTATTTATTTATTTTAAAAAAACCTCCTAAAGTTATTCTAGCCGTCAATCAAGGCAAGGACCCTTGCTTTAGAGCTTTCCAGGCCCAGTCGCCAACCTCACTCCGCTCAGCCGGCCACGTGGGAGCGCGCGGTGCATGCTGGGTTCTGCCCTGGGGACTCGCCTGGCCACGCTGCAGCCACACAAGCTGACCAATTTCACTCACCTGCGGCAGCAGTAAGCTAATCTCCTCCACCTCTTTCAGCGCCAAGAGCGCGTAGCCGACAGCGTGCTCGAACAGCACGTGCAGCAACACCTGGAACGGGAGCCAGGGCGCTACCATCAGCACGGCCCC